TGTGACTGGAACTGGACCTGTTACAAAAACAGAATTGACCTGATCACTGCTGAGAAAAAATGATAAAGCCTACTGCAGTGATAATATCTCAAGCAAACAAGGACACAAAGCTGCTCTTGTCATGTATATTCAGGCCTAATCTGAACGGGAAAGGTCTGAAAATGAATAAACCCCGACAGGATAGCCAGTTACAAACAATGTCACACTGCAGAGAACATACTTGCACATATAGCTAAAGTGTGTCTTTGGAATCTGACATAACGACAAAGTACTTTGGTGAATTATCCTCGTCTGTGAATTTAGCAGGGTCTCAGTCTGCATTATCAAGACTATTCATATTTTTTAATGCACTTTAGGGATTTTATAGCTGCTAATACTGCCTGACATAATGACTTCAACATACGGGCAGCACTATTGTATGAATTGAGACAATGAGTGACACAACAGCCATAATTTCTTAAACAATTTTATATTTATGCCACACAATTTAAAACTACTATCTGGTCCAAAAGGTAGACTCTACGTCATACTAGGCCTGTCGTGATAAACAATAAATCAATTAATTACATGATAAGTAAAAATTATCAACCTCATTTTCATTTATCGGCTTTATTGTTCCTTTGTGTCTCTCTTTCTACTGAAGACACTGGATGACAAAAGGCTCAACTCCAGTGCTCTTTACTGACCCCTCCCTTTCTCTTTTCTCTTTAAAATTTGTTTTAACTGTCCAAAATTGTGTTTTTGGATCGTTAAAAGCAGCTAAGCTGAGAAGCTAAGCTACGAGCTAAGCTAACAAGCTGACCTCGGGGAAAAACCTCCGTCTTGTCGAAGCTCCAAAATTCACGGTTGAAATCCGTGCCTTCGTGTAAAAAGTTGTTTTTCTCTGCAAAAAGAAGCTGAGAACTTGTTTACTGATTTTTTTATTAAAAGCTTTGTGTGAAAAATGCTATGCTAAAGAGCTCAAACCACACCAAGCGTCCGTCATTTTGAGAACCGAAGAGAGACAGCCCATGTCACATCAAGGGGCCTCCCTCCCATTTTTCCTTAAAGAGACATGCTGCTCGCTCTCTCACTATCCATCCTTCAGTCCAAACAGTCTTATATTGCCATCCGGTGGTCAAAAAAGGTACTACACTCAAGACAAATCAACATTTCTTCTTAAATTTGACAATAATTACTAATTATTGACAAATTTCAAGCGATATTATTGTTTATCGCAATAATTTCTGAGACAATTAATCGCCCAGCAAAATTTGTTATCGTGACAGGCCTATGTCATACTACAAATACGGCCACAAAAGCAAAGCACAAACAAATACTCCTACATAATAATTTATTGGGTTTGAGAAACCATCAACTAAAACATGTTGCAAACTGTAAAACTTCCAGGAAATTGGGATGGCACATGAGATGAGGAAAAATCCACTGCAAAAAAACAGAACAAGTGTTGAAAATGAAAATCAAATTGGAAAAGCCAGACCAGAAAAACAAAGATGTTGAAGGGCAGCTTGTGAAACAATGGGATGGAGGGACAGGTGCAAATGAGAACTGAGCGAAACAGTGAGTGACAGACAATCCCAAGTGGATTGGATATAAAAAAAAAAAGGAAGAGTCTCCTACTCTGCAGCGAGACACTCATTTTTCTTTGAATGCACAAACACTGCTTCAAAACAAATCTCTCCTTCTGAGCAAAAATTCAGCTCATTCAAAAGGATGGATAACTAACACTCCTCAAGGAAGAGTGTTAGTGTGGAGGCAGCAAAAATCCATAGTGCATAATATGATAAAGCTTGGTGTTAAAAAACACACCGAGATACAAGACAATGCAAAAAATGAAGTCACTACCTCAAATGCATGTTATAGAAAACCAATAGGAGAATGTATAATACACCACCTTTTGTTCCTCTACGGAGGGTTTGCAGTGATCACAGCATTTAGTGTGGTCCAGCTGTGAGGCCCCCCTTTAGAATAGCTTCAGCCTAAACAATAAACTAGTAACAAGGCATACTGTAACAGCAACAGGCCTCACATTAGACCTTTTAACAAATGAACAGAATGGTTAATTGCCATTTTCCAAGTCCAAAGCAATGGATTAGTAATGCTGTCTAACAAATGGTGCAGTTTGATAAGTACTAATCAATCAATAAAAAAGGGTTTCAGTTGTTAGTGCAATTTAGAAAACAATTAGATTAAAATAAATCAATTAATGCTCAAACACACAACTGAATGTAAAGTACCAAAAAAAAAAGTTTCCCTACTTAGGCATTTTTATTCTTGTAGCAATGATTCTGCAAATACCAAAGACAAACAAGTATTTCATATCACTCTTGTAAAACTTGTATTGAGAGAAGTATATTCACTATAGTGTAACAGCAAGTTCTGATCCAGATGTAATGTAAGCACTTTGCTTTCACTCTGCAAGTAAAATGTGAAATCTTGTAGGGGAACATATGGTAATACTTTCTCAGGAGAATTTCTTTCCGAGAAGTTCCCAAAAATATCCAGCTTATAGTTGACACACAAAACCGTCCAGGTGCACTATTAATTATGAGAAGAGCTGCAGAGGAAGTCAGATTGTGACTGCACAACAAAACACTGGCTGTAACAAGAAGGTAGGGATTTTATTCACATTTCCAACTAGAAGTCACTTATTTTTTGTATTCCCTAAGCCGTGCGTTTATTCCAAATATTCCAATTGTCTGATTTGATTTAAATAAACTGGGAGATGGTTGCTGAAAGCCAGGATAAAGGCAAAAAGGAGATTAGTTAGTCAGCTGTCAGAGCAACAGAAAGATGCAATAAAGAGAGAGCTTTTTTTTACGACAACAACGGTCCAAATCTGAGACACTGGAGACTGCCAAACAAAGGCTTTCAGCTCCGCTACCAACCTAAAAAGGTAATCTGTAGAAACAAAATTTGAGGAGAATAAACAGAATGTTCTATTCCAACTATTTAAAGTGTGGCTTACTCTTAGTTGCAGGGTAATACAATGTGAACAGACCCACCTAGAACTGAGATTGAACAATACTTAAGATACTTGTAAAAGAAGGAGGCATCACACGGCAGTGTCTCATGGCTTAAAGATCAAAGAGCTGACCACAATAATCTCCCAGAGGAAGAACCAGTATGCATCAAAGTGACAGACATTCATGACAGAGTTTTAAGGCCCTGTACACACGTAGCCGGATATCAGGAAAACCGAATAGTTTATCATGCGGTGTGGCCTTTCATCCACACGTGAACTCCGGTTGATGTAACTATAAACGAATAATAACAAAAACTCCGACCAAAGTGGAGATTTGAGAAATCTCCTCTTTCGGGTTTGCGTGTGGACTTTCGGAACCGGAGATATGCGCATTATGTCTGCGACAGATGGTGCAGCGCGGCGCTGACGTCACATGTGCGACAATTGTTTTTGTTTGCCCATTCATTCGGAGGGAAAATGACTGCGTTTAGGGAAGTACTAATTGTAACGCTGGTTCAGGCAATTTTTGCTTGCTTGTTTTTACAAGCACAACTGCTCCAACAGATGGAATTACAAAGGAGAAAAAGCGTTTGGCGTTCAGCTCTTTTACAGCAACTATCCCTACCGATACGGAGGCACAATACCGCCATTCAGCGTCGCCGTCGCCGGTTTTGGATCAGACCTGGACGCACTGCTGGCTGGTGGGAAAACTTTGAGAAGGAAATTGTTCTCCCACAGGAATGGCGTGAGAACTTCAGAATGTCACGGTCGTCATTACTGTCGCTCTCGGAGTTACTCCTTCCTTACATTCAAGGGAAGAGTACTGTAATGCGATCTCCAGTCTGTGTGGTCAAAAAAGTTGCATGCACGCTATATTATTTGGCTGACGAGGGAAGACTGCGTAAAACGGCCAATGCATTTGGCTTATCAAGACAAGTAGTCTCAAACATAATTAGAGAGGTGTGTAAGGCTATAACTGTGTACTTGGGACCATCTTACATAAAAATGCCAACAACAGAGACTGCTGTGCGTGCACTTGTTGAGGGATTTGAGCAGGCTTATGGTCTCCCTCAGTGCCTTGGAGCTGTGGATGGGACTCATGTGGAGATAAAGCAGCCATCAGCTAATTCTACAGAGTACCTAAATAGGAAGGGGAGGTTTTCTCTTAACATACAAGCCACCTGTGATTACAAGTACAGCTTTATTGATGTAGTTGTGAAATGGCCAGGGAGTGTGCATGATGCCAGAGTTTTTGCTAACTCCACAATAAACACAAATCTGAAAAACATGAAGATTCCCCCCTGTCCAAGACAAATTGTGGAGAACGAAGACGCTATACCCATTTACATACTGGGTGACCCTGCATACCCACTTCTACCTTACCTGATGAAAGAATATGCTAACGGAGGAAGCAATGTTCAGGAGCAGTACTTTGGACTTTCGTTGTGCCGAGCTAGAATGGTGATTGAATGTGCATTTGGAAGACTAAAAGCCCGATTTGGAGCCCTGAGGAGAGCCATGGACATCAATATGAACGATCTTCCATTTGTTATATATGCATGTTTTGTGTTGCACAATTTTTGTGAGGCATCAAAAGACACTGTGGATGAAAACAGAATAACTGAAGCTATTCAACATGACAGGAACAATCAACCGGACACACAGCCAGTGGTCAGAGGAGACAGCTTGGCAGCAGAAGGAAAGCGGGTCAGGAGAGTCCTCACTCAGTGTCTGGATCCATAAACACAAAAACCTGTGAACTATTTAGCAGACTGCGTTGTTTTTTCATAAAAAAACGTTATAGTTAGCACCATGTATGTTAGAGAATTTTTAAATTGTTTTGTGCAATGTTATTGCATTTCATTCTATTAATGCATGAAAAGCTACCACCCAGGATTTAGATACATTATATAATAGTTTGTAGCTCATTAGACAGACTTTTAAGTGAAATGATTTTACTTTTCTCTCTTAAAATTGGACCTGTAGTGTATTAAATAGTGCTGCCAATACTTTCTGATGAACATGACTGTATTTGTAACTGATAAATGTCATATTCACAAAAATTCACATAAAGAAACTTGCTTTTAAAATGTTTGTCAATTTATTCAAACGAACACACTTAACATGTTCTTATTTTGTGTTTCATTTATGAACAGATCAGATTATAACAGATCTACAACAGATAAAGCTTTTTAAACATGGGAGAAAAGCAGCACAGTTACTGTACACTTTTAAATCAGTGATGCCCAAGTCCATAACTTGGGAGCTACCACAGGTACATTTCAGCTGCATTTTCTTCAACAAACCAGTATGAAATAGCTGATTTCAATCATCAGTATGTATTTGATAGTGGTGTTTTGGAGAAATACATCTAAGTAGCAGTAGCTCCCAAGGACTGGACTAGATCACCACTCTTATAAAGATTCACGTAACAAAAATGTAAATAGTTAAAGTATTGTGCAATTGCTACATTTTAAGCTTTTCACAGTATGTATAAAAAGATAGCAAACAGAAAAAAAACACTGTCAGAGTAAATAACACTGTGATTAACAACCTGACATGTGTGCAACCTTGTGCAAAAGTGGAACTTGTATATACTTAACTGTACCAGACTTGTTTCGATGTATAAAACAGTACTCTACTGGTCATTAAAAAGGGCCTGACTGAATGAAAATTGGTCAGTGGCTTCAGCAGGTGTGTGGAACACAGCTTCAGTGTTCATAGTGTTTCCTGGTCTTGTGTTTTGACGTGTTCTGTCAGAAGTGGAGTTGTTTGGGTATGGGTAATTTGCTGAGTTTTGGTGGACAGAATGGTGGGCCATTGTGTGCGAATACATCGGACCTCTTGGCTCATATGGCATGTAGTGTGGTGGTTGTGCAGGTGCATGAATGACCTGTTTCAGAAGAGAAAACCCATCAACAATCGATGTGGTAAGTCTTTCCAGTGTATTGGACATTTTTGAATAGTTTTCGGATGCTTTTTGTTCTGATGTCTCAATGATTTCCACCAGTCTCTTTTTCACACGCTGGTCTTCCTCAAGAGCATTCAGCCACTGGGTCTCAGCAGGCAGCTTTCTCCTCAGACGGTCGTGTCTGTGTCCTTTTAGTTTTGCCTTCAAAAGAGAAATGAAAATCATCACAATTAAACATAAAAAAGTAAACCTGGATCATGTTGATGTTGTACTTTTCACATCACTTCTACATAACAATATGTAATAACAGCGTATCCAATGTTTGCTATATGTCTTAAAGTGTATTTTGTACCCACCACCCCATCAAACTAATGAATATGTAGGCCTAACATAATATGAGATGAGTAAGAGCATGATGGTGTCATTTCTTTTTTGCAATAATAATAAAAATAAATCAGCAACCCGTACACAGTAAAATATAAAAAACATCACATTCCAGCCTCCACTACACACCTCAACTCTTGCATAATTTTTAACACACATATTGCCTTAACTGTATTTTTAATAGCAACACAATTCAACAAACCTGTTCCGTGAATTATAGTACATCCAACAGATGAACATTTACAGCAAAAGTACTTTTATTTATGAGGAATGGACAGAAAAATATACGTACATCAAGCAGGTCTCTCCTCTCATTTGAAGTAGGACCCACACTGCTTTCATTATCAGACCCTGTGTCTGCTACATCCATGGTAGTGGAGGAAGAAGATGTGGATGGTGAGGGTAGGGTCCGAGAATGATCCAGGTCAGCTGTTTCAATACCGGAGGATATGGTAGTACTAGCTGGAGAGCCACCCCAGATTTGTTCGCACAGTTCGAAGTACAGAAGAACCACTCGACCGTGTCCACTCCTGCGTCCTGTATCAACAGCATGGCGATATTTACCTCGGACTGCTTTCATTTTTGTTGTTAAATTCCCGCGCGTGATGTCGGCATGTGAATGGGGAAACTCGTCGGAGGACTCCGTTGGGTAATGCTCTAAAAAAAGCGCTAAAATATCAACATACTTGTTCTGACAGGATTCCCAGTCGACATTTTCCTGAGTTTTATTAACTTTGTACTCCAACACGGTATTTAATAGTAGTTCAACCTCGCGGTCTGTCCACACAAACGAACCTCCAGGCGCCATGATTCAATACTAACAGGAAGTTGTGGTTGCTTTGAAGGGTTGTGATTTGCTGATATACGTTTCACCTTTGCACTACACTGCCTCCTATGGGTTGGGCATATTCTTTACAACGCTCTGTGGTGAACATCACCGGGTTCATGTAGACGATCATTTTCTCTATCCGAACATGTATGTACGGCGATATTTTTTTGCGCGGATATTCGTTTTTTCAAACACCAGGCTACGTGTGTACAGGGCCTAAGTAAGAAGAGACTGCACCAAGCCCTGACATGATCCACACCTATATTGGCTAAAAATACCTGACTGCCCTCCATGAATGCCTAGCAGCGCAAATAAACCAGCTGTTAATGGACTGGCTCCATCGAGAGTTACCAAACATTCCAGAAAGGAGCATTTCTATCCAAGAAGAATAAGGAAGTTCCTGTCAGGCATCAGCAGCTCAGATGAATTGTACATGGCTCAGTACAATAATGAGAAAGGGAACTTGCAGTAACACCACAGGTGCCAATCACTCATCATCAGTCATTTGAAGCAGTGGGACCAGACAGACGTGTGCACTGCAAGGCTTGACTGTAAGAAAGTCCATGACTTCATGGTCCACTTGAATCATGGAATACATGAAACTGTGCAAGATCAATAATGACACCAAAAGCCTTCATCAAAAAGTCAATGAGAATGTGGAAGATGACTAGATGAAAATGGAAACCAAATACTCTAGTTGGGATAAAATGTGGCATTTACCAACATGATACTGTGTCTACTGTTCTGCACAGGGCTCACACCCTTCAGTCAGATTATCTCAAAATGTGGTTACATTTGCAGGTTCTGAGGTAGACCATCAAACAATAATCATCAGTCACCTCCTTTACATAAATGACATCACGGTGTGGGCCAAAAATGAGCAATATATGTTAACTCACTGATTCACCTCAATATGCAATAATTGGTCGTTTGGACTGGTTAAATGTATCAGAATGACATCCTCAAAAAAGACAAAGTGAAAACAACTGAAGGGGCAGGGAAAAACCACCAGAAGACAACATTGCAAAAGTTCAAAGATCCAGCTGAAAGGAATGGACAAAGTTCAACCCTTCAACATGTATGTCCTGCCAGGCATCACATACTACAGTGGTAGAATAGATTTACCAAAGGAGGAGAAAGAAACCACTGATATCAAGACAAAAATGCTCCTCACAGTACAGGAGGTACTTCACACCATGTTCAGCTTTTTGAGAATAGAGGGAAGAAGACCAGGAATCAAGGACTAGCGTGCATCAAAACTTCTATATAGAATAAAATAACTAAGATCCTTGAGCACATCAAGAAGACAGCCTCGAATGATGAACTGCTAAGCGAATGTCTCAGTCTGCAGAAAATCCGTGTGGAAGAGGAGGAATAGGAGGAGCCATTGTGAAAAGATAAGGAAGGCCTTGGCATGAAACACAATCAAACTGTGGCTGATATAAAAAAAAAAATCTAACAGTGGTTAGAGGTGTCTATACCAAAGAGCAGTTTGAAGGACTAAACATGGCAGTGCAAGAACAACCGAGGCTGGGGTCCACCACACCAGCTGTGGGGTGTGCAAAGTTGTTCTAAGACAGTCCATAATACAAACAGCATGATGTGAAATACAGTAACAGAAATCACAGAATATCATTACTGACTGGCTAGAAAGGTGTCTGGAAACCTCTGTGCTGGGTATGGGTTGGAAATCTCAAGGTCAAAATGATCACCACCTAAAGATCCTGCGGGATCTTCAGATTCAAACTCGAGAACTGGACGGTTAGACAGTGTGATGGTTGACAGAGAAACTAAGTACTGATAAAGCCTAAGTGGCAGCAAAATCAAATAGAATAAACAAAAAAAAAATTCTTAAAACATGCAAAGTACAAAAAGAGGAAATTAAGTAGTGGAAAGTTAAGACCACAGTGACTGTGGTCCTTCAAACACCATAACTGAGACAGAGTACGCGCCTCCCAGGAAGAAACATCAAAACTTTCTGTCCAGAAGAGAATGGACTCTGCAGGGGTGATGCATGATTTAAAGGAGAAAGAAGGCTAGCTTAAGTTAAAGTTGCCAGACTTTAACTTTCTGCAGCAGACCCTCAGATGAATATCAATAAAGATGTGGAGTTGGACTGCCTAGGGTGATGCTGAGAGTTTCCTTTTAGAGTCCCACTATGAGAGGAGGCAGAGTTTAAAGTACCACTCTCTCCATCTCAGTAGGCAGCGCTCTGCCTTCCAACATCCAGCTGTGTTTGTTTGCTGTGAATTAGCAGGCAACAAGAGTCTACATGCTCGCTCAATATTACCACCATCACACCATAATTAGAGAGGAGTGCACTATTAAAATGGTTATCCGCTGCTAAATCACCAAATGATCATTTGTATCTAGCACATGTCAAAACACTAAATATATACCTGTACTCTTCAGCATTCTGTACTATACAGTTAAAGTACTAAAGTACAGAAGCCACCAAAAACACACTTATTTAGCTATGTAATATAATATAGTACCATAGTAGTTTTATTAAAGACAGTGACGATCTTTCTCTTAGTCTTATTTAAACATTAATTGTCTAAGTGATCTTATAGATATAATTAATAAAATTCCCCAAATAACTGTGTTTTTTGTTCATGTGAGCTACTTATTAATGGTAACACCCTAAGATTTAATGTAAATCCCACTCAAAAACACGTCACAGTTCAACCAGAACACGGAGCAGGTGGAGGGTTTCTGAATGCCCACCAGCCACTGCTGCTCAAACAGATGTTGGTTACACAACTTCTGATACCTGAAAATGTCTGCCACCATCTAAAACACAACCCCCTGCTGGCAGCCATCAGTCTCACTACACAGGAGCTCAATAATCATATTATAAGAGCTCCGAGTATTATTAGTGTTTGTATTTTGTTGTTGTTGTGTCTGATACAAAATGGCTTAGGTCACTGCAATCATAAAAACAGAGAGGAAATCAAACAGAAACTGAGTGGAAAACACTCGAATGAAGCAAAAATGAAAAGTTTCTTAGGAAAACTATGGGTTTTGACACTGATGAGCCTATAAGCAACAAAACAAACAACCAGATGGAAGAAACAGGAGCATTTCCAGTGCAATA